GGTTAAGGATATAAGTAGGAATTTTAAGAATGCAATTGTATTCTGAATGCCTGAGTTCTGCTTATAAGGTATCCAGTTCAGCAAGAACAAGGAAGAGATAAACCATACATTAATGCCAATTTTTGTAGTTACTGGTAAGATGAAGAACAGCTGTTACTAGTTTTCCCCTCTGCAATCAGATTGTAAGTCCCAGAGGATAGGAGCCAGGTCTTCATGATTTTCTCTTTTCTTTTGTGTTCTCCATAGAGGGTGGTGCTGAGCACATAGATGATATTTCATAAATATTTATAGATTACTCCAGGGGTTGGCAAACTTTTGCTGTAAAGGCCAGATCATAAATATTTTAGTCTTTGAGGGCCATACAGTCTCTCTCACCGCTACTCCTCTGTTGTAGCAAAAAGCAACCTAAATAACATGTAACAAGTGGACATAGGTGTATTTCAATAAAACTTTGTTTATGGACACAAGTTTTATATAACTTATAAAACTTTATTTATGGACATATAACTTTACATGTCACAGAATATTGTTCTTCTTTTGATTTTTTTCCAACCAATTAAAAATGTAAAAACCATTCTTCGCTGGGGCCGTGCACCTACAGACAATGGGCTGGGTGTAGTCGATGACCCATCTTGGGCCAGCACCTGGCTTGCAGGGTCCTCATTTTTTGCTTCTGCCTTTTTCCCTGGTTTTATTTCCTTTCTTCCTTATTTCCTGATTCATTCTCTTTTCCTTGTTTTGGCTTTCCTTCATCTCCCTGTGGGGTACCCTATACCTGCCCTTCTTCCTGATCTTTCTTTTCTCCCTTTCTTCAAACATGACAGCCGCTTTCTTCTCTTAGTTTACCTAAGCACTGTCACCTTAGGGGGAAGGATTTCCTGAAACACTGATTCAGTAACAGGAAAAAAAAAAAAAAGATGGGATTGAAATAATATTTAAAACATGGAGCTCTAAAATTATTATATTATGACCTCCCCTTCTCCTTCTTCTCCTCATTTTTATGCTTCTCCATACACTGAGTGCAAGGGTGAAGAGGGAATAAAAGTGACTTATATGTACGTATTGACAGAAGTGTCATTACTAATATGTGCAAGTATGTGGGTGGGTAATGGTTATTCTAGTTGTGCTATTTATTTTTCATTAACCTATAATAATTGGCCCTCTCAGCTATTTATTCTTTCACCCCTTTCTGCAAATTCAGACACCTATTTGAGAAAATTATCTTGACTCACTAACAATTTTGCCTTTGCTGAAACTAAGGTTTTTTTTTTTATTTCCAACCACTCCAATTCATTGCTTCTAATTTTAAAGATGGTCTTGTTCAAGTCTTTTTTTTTTTATTTTTACAACACTTTCATAAACAATTTGCCTCAAATCTACCAGGTTTGAGCAATAGCCTTAAAATTCAGTTACCAGGGCAATTTTAGAAAGTACAGACGCTACAAAGACAAAAACAAACAAAATAACCTCCACAAAAAACCTTCCTTTGGTTCTTGTCCACAAATGTTCAGAGCATTCGTAAACAACACTGTTAAAAACAACACCATTTCATCACTTTTTTCCTAAAACAAAAGCAGCATATTTTCCTTTCTTGCCTTTTCTCTTTTTTTTTTCCTTAAAGATTTTATTTATTTGACAGAGAGTGAGAGATAGTGAGAGCAGGAACACAAGCAGGGGGAGTGGGAGAGGGAGAAGCAGGCTTTCCGCGGAGCAGGGAGCCCGATGTGGGGCTGGATCCCAGGACCCTGGGATCATGACCTGAGCCGAAGGCAGACGCTTAACGACTGAGCCACCCAGGGGCCTCGACTTTTCTCTCTTTCTTTACAAAATTACCAACTTAACAAATATGATCGAATTTTACTCTTCTCGGCAGTTGTGCAGAATTTTGCCCATAAATCTAAGATGCTTTTGCCTTTCTTCATTTTTTTCAGCTGCCGTGATTAGGTGTTAGAATCAACAGCCTTCCTTCTTTGATAGAATTCTTTTCTTCCACTAAGTAATATCCTCTGAATTAAGGGTAGGGCAGTCAGTTTCTTCAGCTGTATTTATCACTGTGTTAGTCACAGAAATCCATCTTTTTAAAGATATTCCATGATTTTCTCCCTTAATTCAGAATATTTGATAGAATGTGATATACCACAATTAGCAAAATCTAGACCAAAGCAAAATATTTACAAGAGGTATGAAAGCTTCATAATCATCTCATCCTCAAATGCACACACAGTATGATTTGAAGTATTATTACAGCTCTTATCCTCTTTGGGAAGATACTGTTAATTCACTGAATCTCACCAAACCATCTCAATCACATGAAATGCCAAAAAAATGTTGGCCATGATCAAATCTGATTTGTTACCTACAAATTCAAGATAGAATGATTATCCTTTGGTTGCATAGCTTTTTTTTTTTTTTTGCATTGAAAACAAATCACATTCATTAACTTGATAATATTTATAATATCCCAAATGTATGAGGAAAATACTAACATCAGTATTTTCATACAAGAAAGCACAGGCATCTAGCAATAGCATTATGTAATATAATTTACATAGTATTATAAAGCTAATCATAATTGTTAAAATTTAATCCATATACTCTTTATATTTCCCCCTTAGTTCATTGCAAAAATACTTCTAAAGACCACAGACATACAAAAAGATACTGTCTGTAATACACAAAACATTGCTAGTCATGTGTCCTGAAATCTACCATGTACTTAATATGGTGTTGCCAATGTAAGAGTAAGAGAAAAAGACTTAATCTTCTCTTTGAATCCAGAAAGGAGAAAGACAAGTACTTTCATGGGCATCCTCCAAGAAACAGAGGTTGAAAGGCAAGCCTCCCTAAAAATGGCATTGCTCTGTTTGGGTAAATTAAAAAAAATCTTCAAAGAAACTAGTAGACCTTTGTGGCTGATTGTGTTTTCCAAAGATTGCTGCACCAACATGTATCCCATTTCACAAGTTCTTCCCACAGAGTCGCGCTAAGCTTGGCTCCATTCAGAGGTTCGGTCTGTTCCCGAGCTTGAACCTGGATACGTCTTTCTAACTGCTGCAACCAATAGAATGTGATGGGTATGACACTGTATGATTTCCAAGCCTGGGCATGGAAGGAAATCCAACCTCTGCCTGGTTCTCTCTTTCTCTCTCAGGGCACCTGCCCTTTGTAATCAGCCATCATGTTGTAAGGAAGTCCAGGTCATATGAAGAGGCCACAGGTAGGTGTTCTGGCTTAAAGTCCTAGCTAATAACTTGGCTGACAGCATCATCCACGATTTATATAAATAAATGAGTCTTCAGATAATTCCAGCCCCTAGCCTTTGAGCCATGTTGGCTGCTAGCAAGTGGAATAGAGACGAACTATTCTTCAAGCTATCTAAATTTCAGATTTATGACCAAAATAGGTGTTGTCATTTTTTTAAGCCTCTAAATTTTGGAGTAATTTGAAGATTTTATTTATTTATTTTAAAGGGATAGAAATCGGGGTGAGGGACAGAAAGAGAGGGAGAGGGAGAATCTCCAGCAGAACCTGAGATCATGACCTGAGCTGAAACCAAGAGTCAAACACCTAACTGAATGAGCCACCCAGGCTCCCCTGGAGTAATTTAAAATGTAGCTATAGATAACTGTAACAGCCTTCAACAAGATAGTTATTTGATGTTGTAAAAATTACATTGCTCATGTAATTTGAGTTCCATTCCATCTCAGAACTAATGCTGAACCATAGCAACCCCTGGCATACTTCATATATCTCCCCTTTGAAGGAATATAGAATTCCCTTTTGGTGATTTCTTTGGAAACAGAAACAAGTGAGAGCACTTCAGAACAGGAAGTGGCCATAGAATTACTGCTTTTGGTTTTTGTGAGTCCTCAGAACTACAAAAAACATTTAACTGGTTTGCAGTAAATTGCTTCCATTAGCTCAGCTCTTAGAGGAAAATCTTCACAGCTAGCAATGTTATGATGCCACCCTTGTGTACCTATTAGGAAGCAAGAACGATTTGATCATACTTGATCTATCTCTGTAATTCTTGCAAAAATAATTTTGGGGGTGCAGATGAGTAAGCAATGTGTACAGAGAGCAGTAACTAAGTTATGTTCTTATTTATTGTGCAAGTCCTCAGGTAGGCTGGAAGCACATAGCAAGTTTAGAATTATTTCCCCATTTATAACTCAGTAGGGTAGCTCCTGTGGTTGACCATAGAGTCACAGAATGAGCTAGAGAAATCTGTCAAGATGTGTTGGCCAGCTCTTCAGATAAACACTTCAGTTAACTTAGAGGTCAACATCACCATTTCAGCTTGACTCTCCAATTTTGGCAGCTTGGCTAAGAGTCTTGTCCACAAAACCCTTAAACTTAATTGAGGTAAATTGTTTACAGCAATCTACAACAACTAGATGGTATGGCTGAAAATTTATTTCCAGGTGTTCTAATGATTCTATGTTAATAACATAGTTATTCCTATGATATGGTCCTGACTATTCCATATGAACTACTGAGCAGACCTACTCTTCATAGTATAGAATGTAATCTACCATTGTAACATCTAACTCGATTTCAGTTCACTAGGCAAAGCTTCAGGCTGAAGCTTTCACACAAGATACTCTGTGAAAGTGCCACAGAATGAAAGATGGCCAAGACAATGTAATAACCATCTAGAAGAAAAAGGCAGGGAGCAGAGTATTTAATAGTATGGACTCTTGAGCCAGTCTCTGGGTTCACGTTCTGTCTCTGACCCTGATTGTGTGATTCCAGGGCAGGTTCTAATTTTCTAGCATTAGAAAATTAATCTTTCTTTGCCTCTGTTCCTTCATTTCCAAAATGAAAACAATAACTTTGTAATGTTTAAAGGAGTTAGTCGATGTGCCGTGCATATAACAGTGCTTGGTATGCAGTAAGTGCTAAGTAAATGTTAACTATTAACTATTATGTTGTGAGTGAACAATTGAATGTCTTGAATTACTCAGGAATTACTCTTTCACAAATTATAAAGCATTTTAGGGTTCTGGGCAGTTAATCATATAATTTGTCCACATGGAAGATATGTTTCAAGCACATTTTTTAACATCAACACTTCTTCTGGAAGTATCACAGTCTCTTCAGGAATTTCTATGAGAGTCAGCTCTGGACATCAAGATTATGTATGATTCTTTCCATTACATTCTAGGCAAGCAGAAAACACACAGTGACCACCGAGTTCGTGGCTTTGGTGCTGTTTAGATCGTGATCATGGTAATTAAGGTAAAAGCCTGCAGTTAAGAGTTTCCAATTATGTTTGTATTATGTTGGTGAAAATTGAGGAGTGGGGAGGTTTTTGACTTCCAAAAGAACTCATAATGTGGATAATATTCTTTGAAGCATTTCTCAGGGACAGCCGCCATTAGTGTTTGGACTGTGTATAGCTCTCTCACCATAAGCTGAATAATCATTGGTGGGGAGTTCTGGTTTATTCTCAACATAAGAAACTGATTCTGACTGGGAAATGAATGATGATATAACATCCCAGAAGGTAACATTTTTCTGAGACCGACTCCACAGAGTAGTATTTCCAATAAGTAGTGAAGTGACCCAGCAATGGCAGACTTTTGAGGAAGAAACGTCAGAGAAAGCACAGAGCCCCATGTACTTGTCTCAGTTGGCTAAGTGCTGAGAGCAGGGATAGAGTAATCCAAGAAGGTGTCAGTGGAAGTTCTTGTTCCAAAACTTCCCTCATTATGTGGATGCCCACTATGTCCTTCTATGAGATTATTGGCACTTTTTCCATCCTTGAAGAAACATTAGTATTTTACCATTATCAGTACTTATGGGAAACTTTTTGTGAAGCCAAGATTATTCTTCTCAACATATTTCTACGTTTTTCTGTGGAATTCAGCTTTCTTATTGTGCCCATGATTAACATGTTGTTTAAGTATTAGCACCTTTTGGTGGCCATGTGTCCATTTTGCTCTCAGATACATTCCTTGACCTCTGTGTTGAAGAAGCACCATTTCCCAGGTTCCTTAGCACCCTGGCATTTGGATAGGTTTGGCCAATAAGAGGCACAGGTGAGAGACTGCAGATCAAGAGGAAGGGAGAAAATAAGATACTTCTCTTTCTTTCATCTGAGCAATATCTCTAACGGGGTATGTCCCCGCTGTGGCTCCAGCTCCCATTGAGTTGTCTTCCATGCTTCCACTTGGCATTGGGGCCTTTGCTTTGGAACTTTACTAACATTGACTTCTCCCTTCCTCCTACCTCTACTTTTGCTAATCTCTGGTTTTTTCACCATCCTCTGCTTTCTTTCTCAGATCTTACATTACCAGTGTAACAAATTTTCTGTGTTAAACTCCTCTTTTAGAAACATCTAGAGTAATTTCTGTTTTCTGACTGGACCCTTACTGATACACACATGTAGAACTTTGTAAGAAGTCTGAGAGACATTCTAGAATTCTAGAAAATTCAAGAATTTGAAGGATAACAGAAAGTCTAAATGATATAACTGAAACTATTTCTGAATCATTGATTGCTTGGGCATCTACAGTCATGCCATTAATGATAAGCTATTGATAGCCCTAGACAAGGCCAATTTTTGCAAACACAGTAATGTAGGTTTGCAAAGTAATGTAGGCCAGTGGACACACTACATTTGGGGTCTTCTTAAGGTCTTTCTTCAAAGTCCTTGTATAGTCTCTATAGAGTTTAACATAAAGCATTAGTAACAGTATAATTAGATTAGTCCATAGTATACACAATGTATTCAATGGTAATTTAGTTGACTAGAACCTCAAATATCTCCTCTATATTTTTCTTTAAAACAGAAGGTTCATTTCTGACTTGGAGTAAATTATTGCAGAGGCTGAATGTAGATAGAATGGCACACTTTTTAGTGCAATTTTTCAGAGATGTCATGAGAATTCTGTTACCATCTTGTTGAAGCTGGGACTTCCCTAGGGTATTGAATATCTTGGAAATTAATTCATAATATTATGAGAGAGTTTCTTCCCTCCAGTATATTTTGTTGACAACTGGAAAGATGTCTAGAACTATAATACTGTTTCTGGCAATACCAATTGTTGGATTATTATAACCTTGAAGAATTATGATGAGTAGCCGTAGCAGTGGTGTGAAAGGGCTTTAGCAGAAAATATTACAGAAGGGTCTCAACCATACCTTTAAACCATTCTTATAATATCACCTCTCATTTATGCTGCAAGCCACCACAATCTAGCTCCGACCCCTTAACCCCCACCCTATCTTCCACCTCTCTAGTGGAAGTGTCTTGAGAAGGCCCCTGACCTGCCAAGTTAAATCTAGTCCCCTTTTCTTAAAAATGTCTTTCCTTTGGTCTAGGCTTTTTGAACCCCGCTTTATTCTACAGATAATTAAAGATCTCATTTTCTCTTCCCTGAACAATGTATCTCCTTGCTTCTACCACGTTTTATTTCCAATTTATCCTCTACATTGTCACAGTGTAGAAGGCAACATAATACAATGAGAAGATCACAGGCTTGAAGCCAGAAAGACCTATGTTCAAATCTCAGCTCTTCCATGTAAGTGACTTGATGCTGACCTCAATTTTGACATATCTTGTAAATATGATACTAGAACTTACCTTGTGGATTTGTTTTCATAATCAAAAACAATAATGTCTATCAAGTGGCTTGGACATAATACAAAGTCATTTTGTTTTCTTAAAAATCAACTCAGTTATTCACATATCTCTCTTCTCCTAGTCACAGAATAAATCTCAGCCTCCTTAGCCTGGTGTGCATAGCCCTTCACAGACTACAGCTTCTTCTCCGTCCTAGCTTCTGTGCCATCATCCCACATTCTGAAAATACAGATGGGCTTGCTCTTTTCCACATCCGGCCTCTCATTTATGGTTCCACATATTTGCATATTTAGTTCTCCATCTGTAATGTCCTTTGCCCTCTTGTCTGAATGGCAGGCTCCCAATATATTCCTCAGAGCCCTATTCAAATATTATCTCTCAGTCCTTTGCCCTCATTCTAATAGATTTTGAACAGTTTATGCTGTTGAGGTGGTCTCCTATTTTGAAGATTCTGTCCTTCCCATGCTGGAATTGGTGAACACAGTGAGTCTATGGCTTCGCTAATTTAAAAAGTAGATAATCTATAAAACCCAGCAGATATTGTGGAACTTACTTTCCATATAGTCTGTTAACCCTGTTGTCAGCGTATGCTATTTCTATGCATTATAATAATTCTTGGGCCTGGTGAAGATATGACAGCTATTCCCATAGCACCTATGATGGGAATGCAAATTTTAGGGAAAACAGTTTGTCAATATACATCTGAACTGATACTTAAAATATTCACCCAGTGATTCTGTTTCTAAAAATCTACTTAAGGAACATAATATGATATGTATATACAAATTTATGCACAAATGTGTTCATCATATAGTTATAGTGAAAAACTAGATAGATCTCAATCACCCAAAAATAGGTTTTAGTTATATAAATTATGATATATATATACAACAGAATACTATGTAGTCATTAAAAGTTACACTTATAAAGTATTTATAATAAAATAGAAATTCCTATGACATAATGTTAAATTAAAAAAAAGTCAGAATACAAGGGCATACTTTCATATGATTACAATTGTATTGAATATACACATAGAAAAGGGACTTGAGGGTGCCTGGGTGGCTCAGTTGTTAAGCGACTGCCTTCAGCTCAGGTCATGATCCCAGGGTCTTGGGATCGAGTCCCGCATCGGGCTCCCTGCTCTGCGGGAAGCCTGCTTCTCCCTCTCCCACTCCCCCTGCTTGTGTTCCCTCTCTTGCTGTGTCTCTCTCTGTCAAATAAATAAATAAAATCTTTAAAAAAAAGAAAAAAAAAAGAAAAGGGACTTGAAAAAAGTGCTGAATGTTAGTGATTACCTATATTAATCAGAGTGGGCTACCTGCTATAATAAACAACCCCCCAAGTCTCTGTTGATTAATGATGGAAGTTTATTTCTTGTTATGTCATAGTACAATGTATAGTACAATGCAGACCAACTCTTCTCCATGCAATTATATGAAGATCCAAGCTGTACCTATCTTCTAGAGAAAATACATTCATTAGGCATGTCAAGGAAGGTGGTGTCCGAGGTAGGACCTGAAATTGAGACACATCACTCTGTCCACACATCATCGGCCAGAACTCAGTCATATGACCCCACCTACGTACCCAAAGTTTTGGGAACTGTATTCTCAAGAGGAAGAAAAGGAACTTCTAACATTGCCTTCCTCATCTCTGAGAGTAAATCTAACAAATAGTTTCTATTTCTTTACATTTTTCTATATTTTCCAATTTTTCTCTAGGAACTACGTATTATAAGAGAAAAATACATAATTAAGAAGGCCTCAGAGTTTTAAAAGGAGCTATTCTTTTAATTTCTATGACATGAATTAATACTGTCTAAAGTACTTTCTTTGACATCAAAAGGTTGATTTTGGTTCAGACAAGAGTTACCACTGCAAAATTTCACTATGTACACCATGATAAGAAATCCATGCAATATGAACAGTTCTTTGAACTGATGAAATTTAAATATCTAAATAGCATTGAGAACTACATTGATTATCTCACAAATTCATCGAATATTGTTTAAGAAAATAGAGTATTAAGAAATATAACTTTATTTTACTTTTTATTTTATTTTATTTTTTTTAGAGAGGGAGGGGGGCAGGGCAGAGGGAAAGAGAAAGTCCTAAGCAGGTTTCATGTGCAGTGCAGGGCCCAATGCAAGGCTCAATCTCATAATCCTGAGATGATGATCTGAGCTGAAATCAAGAGTCAGATGTTTAACCTACTGAGCCACCCAGGCACCCCAAGAAATCTAAATTTAAATCAAATTTTTGGTAGAAAGAGATGAAGAGGTAGAAATGTCTGAGACCCAAATTCTTGAACCTCAAGCCCTCTATTGCCTGTGCTCTTTCAATAGTTGTATTGTTTCCAAATTGTCCTTATCCATAACTCATCCACATCAGACCTCTTCTTATTTGGGAGCAGAGAAGTAGAGAGAGAGAGAGGATGTTGGATAAGTACAAGTGCCCCTTCGTCTAACTTCATCCATTGATGTCCAGAGGACAGCATATATTCTGATTAGTATTGAAAATGTTGACTCCCTAACTGTTGAGGTGATGGCAATCTTTTGTTTCTTTCCTTCCTTCTTCTTCTTCTCTCTCTCTCTCTCCCTCCCTCCTTTTCTCTCATCTACCTATCCATCCATCCATCCAAGAAACAT